AAGCTGTACAGTGATAACTGTGTATTTATGCCACATTAAACACGTCAGCTCTGTTAGCTGTTCGTATCTTGTCTTACAAGTGCCACTCCAAGCCATTTTCACATAAAATATCAGAATTAAATAAGATCTTAAAATCACAGAGGAAAGAGCTGGGAGAGACTCTGAAGTCATCTCGTCCTATCTCAAGACCAGACAAACTGTACCTATCTATCATTCCAGATCGACGGGTGACCAGTGGTTGTGCATCAATAACCAGAAACCACAAACCAGAAAATCTTGAATAAAAATATTGCCCTCAAAAACACTGGTCCGTGAAGAATGCCTTCAACTTTACTCTAAAAGGTTAATTACGCTTGGGTTTTTTCTAAATTCTGGTTTTACTGCATGTATGCTCTAAGATACTTGCTTTACAAAAGCCAAAAATTGAAAAAGAATGAATTGATGCATTTTCAAGTCTAAGAAAGAACTTAAAGCAAGTTCATCAGAGCCATTTCAGGCTACCAGCTGCCCTCAGACCATATGTACAAAGGCACACGCAGCCTGGGCATTGTGGAATGAACTTTTTACACCTACCCACACATGAAGAGCTCAGACTGTGCTTTCTCTAATGCCAACACACTCATTTCGTGTTGCCTGGTGTGCCTGTGGGCTCTCTGTGTACAGTTAGGTCACACCTAGGAGGTAGTTGACACCAGGGAGGGTAAAGATGCTTGTAGTTAAAGACGCCCTGGAATTATGCAGTCCTTTTAAAACATAGTTCAAGTACTTCACAGACGCTTTATCATAAGCCTCAGAATAAACAGAGACAGCTGGGCAGTAGCTGTGCAAGTTTGATCACTGAGCAGGATAAAATGTTTAAAACTACAAATTCATGAACTTCTACAATGATAGATAACTCTTTTCCAAAGATTTCCCTGGGACAATCCTGGGATTGTATTATTAGCTTTAAAATCTGGGACCCGAGAAAAGCTCAAATGTTCTTTTAGAACCAACTTCCAGTGGTTCGTAACTTGGAGGTAAAGTTTACACTAGCTTCCCTGTAAAGCGTGTAGCAGCATGACTTTCTTGCATGTTACCCTTCCTTCTCACTTTTAACGACAAACAAATGCAACATCTAGAAAAGTAATGTTACCGCACAGCTATATCAATATGCACATGAGGATTATGATGTTAGCAATTGGATTTCTAAAGTCTGTTCCTTCATGCTGGATTAGGCTGCCTTGATTTGTAAGGGCTAAAAATGGCACTTTTAGCTAGGATATTAAGGATCTTGTTTCCAGAACAGCTACGCTTAAAGTAAGAGTATAGCAACCTGTGTCTCCACATATTTTCATCTAGCAGTCCAGCTGGAATTAGAAAGAGAAAACACGCTTTAATGATAAAAATACAGACGCAGAAGACAGGAAATGCTGAAGAAATTTTGACCAAAGACACAACCCTTAAGGGACCCATCAAAATGCTGCTTCTTTCATAGATTGCAAGAGATTTGTGATCTCTTGCCATGAGTTACTATTTATTTTAACATGTTATTTTCCAGTCAAAACTTGTATGATATATAAAACAAGATGATTGAACTCAATATGTAAAATCCCACTAAATCACATTCGATTAGGACTCTGGGAATAACTCATTCTTTGGATTCATGAACAAACTGGGAAAAAAAATCAGCCCAAACAGACCTAAGATTGAATGTTGCTATATTGATTTTCTGGCAACGCAACAAAAATCCACGTTGTTCTCTTTCAGGTATTTTAACAAGTACAAAGCAACAATCCACTACTGTTACGCCAAAACTGCACTAAATGCAGCATCTCACTGTCTTACTCCAAAGGAAAATACAAAAGGAGAAGGGAAAAGCAAGTGGAATATGGACATATACGAGAACTACCCATCTGGAAGTACACCAGTAACTAGCAGAAAGCCTTGCTTTCCATTTTGGCTGAGTCTACCTCAGCTTACATCAACCTCATTTTACATTACCTCAGTTTACTTCAACGGATGACTTCAGGCAATCACCTTGACAACAACCAACCACTGGTTATGGATAAGGATAATGATAATGATATCATGGCAGCTTTTGCACTTCATTTTGTAGCTAATGGTGTGGTACAAATTCATTGTGCTTTCCTTCAATTTGAGCAAGAATTACAACCTCAAAATGTGGGTCCTTAATATGAAGACAACTGCCTCATGCATCAGGCAGCTTTCTACAGTAACCGCATGGGCCTGAGGAATACCAGGTTGAATAGTACAGCCTGAGAAAAAGCAAAGAAGAAAATGCATATCTCACAGGAGTCTATTTAGCTCATTTTCCCCAGGACAGACCCAGGCTAAGAATCTTCAAGGTATCAAGGCCTGTGGCAGATGATCTGCTTGACTATAGCATCCATTCTGGTTCTCCCTAGAGAACTTAGTGGTAAACATAATTGAATAAAAAGCTCTGGAGTCTGAGTTCCTGCTCAGACCTCACCCAGGGCTTGATTGAGCAGCAGCAATGGTGCTGTGCTGGTGCAGCACGCCTTCCTTGAAACCGCTGAAAGATCTGGAATGCAGGTGAGATGACGCAATTCCTTCAGCATAGCAAGGAAATACAAAGGAGGGGAGTACTCCAAGTTCAGCCAGGCACTGAGCAGAAGAGTAGCAGCACATACTACGTGCAAGAATCTTCCTCTCTGACAGGGCAGGACATGGTTATATTCTAACATGGTTAAATCACACAAATAGATTCATTTGAAGAGAGAAGTCCCTTTTCCTCTCCAGTTACACCAAAGAGCATGTAGGAGCATGTCTATAGCAATGTACGAAATCCAGCTTCCGATCCCTGTTCTCCCTAAAGACACCTGAATTTACATTTTCCACTTCTTAGTGCCAAAAGAATTTAGGTATTGGGTATTCTTCCAGATGAAGGAGGTCTATTTAAAATATTTTAATATTTATAAGAGTAATGACTGAAGTCTGTGTACCATGCCTTCCACCTAAGTGCTCTAACAAGCTGTGTTCACTCTCATGGCCTCATGAATATTTAGAGATACTTATGAAGAGGAACAGCTTAACCTGAAGATATGCATGTCTGGTCTGTGACCAATTACAAGATACTATTCTCAGTGTAAGCACAGTCTCCTATTCTGAAAACTTGTAATAGAGTAAGACACATTTTCCTGATCACTAGCTTGAGACTGTTACCCTTACTCCATATTTCAGAATCCTTTCTGGTCCAAAGTTTTGGACTATCAGTAGTTTTGCTGAAACCAGAATAATAAAATGTGCACAGACCATGAGTCAGAGAGGAAGACTTTTCTACATACAAGTTAGATATCCTTTGTGAAACACAGCGCTTCCCTTGAGGCACACAAATTTTGAGCAGAAGTTGTATCGTTTAGAAAAATTGCATCTCTAGCACAGCACTGGATAAAGACTTTTCCGTGGCCTTAAAAGACAAGTCACCTCTGCCACTTCCCGGCTATTCTCCAGAGGGGCAGATGAGACCGGAGGCAACATACGCTTTCAGAGAAAACAATTTTTAGTCATGCTTTACACCACCAAAGACTGCACTTCACCTAAACTTGCTTCAGCATTACCACATTCTAAGCAACTACTAGCAGCTACTATTTCATGTCCTATTTGCTCTGTAATCTCCCAAGTAGCCTAAGGAAGATCAAAACTTACTGCAGAACAGTAGAACTGGTCCTTTTATCCATGGCTTGCTGGTGAAAAATAGTACAAATCAGACGTAACTTGATTTGTACCTGAATCACTAAAATTATCATGACAGCTTATTTTTAAGTTATTTCTCTTGCAGTGACACAAATTTACAAAGATCCTACAGAAAGTAATTCACAACAGAGTAGATTTCTACCTCTACCAGACTTATTTGCCAAAATGGCAAAAAAAAAAAAAAAGTACTAGCTCTTCAGGAAACTTGCGAAAGACCACCAAGGTACTAGAAATGAACACTTATTCAACCCTGTAATATTTAGTGATTCATTTCTTAACCTGAGCAGTTCACAATAGGTAACACAGCTGTACAGGGCAATG